TTCTTTTTAAATGCGTAAAAATGTATGTTACCTTTACCACATATTTTTTTTTCTTTTGTTTCTCAGTTGTTACCAATATGGAATGCTACAAAATGTGCAGTTGTATATTCCTCTAAAGATTATAAGATTATACCGTCATGTGCAGAACTGCGTTTGGTGAAGAACGCAGTGGGCGTTAACACCAGTCTCAGTCTTTCAGGCACGCGATGCTGTGTCAGCGTCGCCGCGTCCTCTTTTCGTTCCGTTTTTCTTTTGTTTTCGAAGCATTTGCAGCTGGTGAAGTCTTCTCGAAGCGTCTCGGTGTGCTCTCTCCTGCTTCTTTTTTTTTTTTCATGCTTAATTGCTTCTTTTTTTCTCTCTCTCACAGTGTCGTAGTTGCCGGCGGAGCTCGAACTCGCTTCGACCTTGCCACGCTTCACTCACTGTTTTCACAAAGCCCTGTATTGGGAGAGTTTGGCCATTCATTGGTTTCGTGGCCATTTATTGGCCATTCATATCGTTGCCAGTCACAGAACGCGAAACAACCCCTGGTGGTGGTCGTGAGCTCTAAAAATGCGACTCGACGAATTTAAGCCCTTTTAGTGTCGAAATAGTAAAAATGTATTACTCTTGGTGACTGAAACCTTGGCGGATGTGAGGTTTTCGTCACGTCCATATTCAGCGGTAGAATAAACGAATGAGCGCTCCAAACCAGAGCAAACTGCGGAGTTGCGATAATTGCTGCAGATTTGCTACTGACGCCATTGTCACGGAGACGCCGAGATTGAACGCTTTAAATGTCGTTTCCAATATTGTGACGTCGCCTTCTGCTGACTGGTCGACGCTGTGTCACACTTCTTTCAGCGCACGCACTAACCACGGGGAATATTCGGCGCTGGCGGCGGCCTCTGCTCCGCCCATTGGCCAAACTCTGTTTATATACGGCTGTGGGTTTTCAAGGCTAAAACAGGGTTAGCATAAGTAAGCATGAAATTATTTAATAAAAAGTGACATCGCAATAAGTTGTCAGGAATGAGAAACACCTTGTGGGTTCTCTTATTCCATCACTTACGATGTCACACTCTACGGAAGACGAAGACGTCTGATTAAATTGTTGTATGTGTTACGTAAAGTCGGTATAGTTTGTCTCTTTATGACAAGTCCCGGCTCCTGGAACATTTTTGATCCACAACAAGAAAAACTTGGATGCACTCTGAAGGTATTGTGCACTGGGCTCGTATCGATCGACTCCTTTGCTCTCGATCGCAAACCACTCAAAAAAATAAAAAAGTTAAACCTGCAGTTTTACTGTCGGCCATGGAACCTATATTATAAGTACTTTGACACTAGATTTAGGAGCTGCATACTTCGTGTTTAAACGCGAAAACAAATAATATATATATATATATATGTTTGAACCTTAAATTTGGTGTCGTAGCTCCTAAGACAATTTCGGCATCAGAGACACGAGAAGTTAAAAGTTAAAACCAAAGAATCCTATTCAATTTAAAATCAGCTTTTTTTTTAATTCATGACACGTGTTACAAATTTGCTACTTAATAGAATTTAAAAAAATATATACTCTAGACGACGCTACACATTGAGAAATTTCGCAACCACGAGGGCTCTTCACGCTCACAGAAATTCTAACATTGTTCTGTTGGCCTCTAAACAAACGGAAGCTAGAGGCGAAAATATTCGAAGTTTGATGAAATTACCCCAACATATCCCACTAGAACTTTAAAAAAAAAAAAGTGACTTTCAAAATTACGTTTTCTGCTTTATCTTTATTTTTTTCTTTAGAACGTGCAAAACCTTTTTACTGTCAAGATGTCAGAACCGTTATGCAGATGTCGGCAGTACGCCGGAGCACATTTTGACTTCCCACCCCTCGGGACGTCTCTTTTCGGCGAATTGGAGCGACATCGGATTTCGCTCGACGGGGGCCCTTTTACGACGTGAACGGCAGATTCATGAGTCATTCTCATCAGCGAATGGAACACGCTTTACATAAGTGGCACTAGCAGGAAACGCCCCTCCGCGTCCCCCGTGTCACTGAAGCCAGTCAAAAGTGTCAGTCGAGTACGCGGACGTACCAAGACTAGTATTAACTTTACTCTATACAACGAACTCGCGAATTCAGGGCAAGGTCTATAATAAGAGTTGAATTAGGTCACAGCTCTCGACACGCAAAATCAGACTAAGCCAGGCGTGTGGAGTAATAATGTACGTTTTAGTAACATCATAGCTTCGTATTTACCGAATATCTAATCGACTTTGCTTATTTTATGTCGAATGGGTAGTTTATTGAGCACAGCATTCCGGGTCAACAGAAAATAAAGCTGTATACAAAGAATTTCTTCCCGTAAAACTTGTTTTTTTTTTTTTTTCGAGGGCAGCTCTAATTTGGATTCGGCGTACGTCGGTTTTAATCGATTTTGATATAAAAAAAAAACGGCTCGGCGTTTAATTTTTGGAATTCGTGGTTTATCAAAATTTACCCAAAAACAAACAAGCAAAAATTATGGAACCTTTTGTAATACATAGAGGTATTAGCTGGTGGTTAACCAAATAAGCAGAGGTGACGCACTCAAGGCGTTGAAGCGTAACTCTCAACGTAAAGCCTTTTACGATTTCAAATGCCGACTGAAAAATCCGATCGGACGCGAATGAAAGGTAACAACGCGGAAGGCTGGTGTGTACAATATCTACACTCGAATAGCAGTGCTCTGATTGTCTTTGATTGACGGGATAGTGGGTAGAGCTCAAAGCTAGACGCCTTGACTTCTACCCACTATTGCTTTCAGCCAGCCAATGAGAGCTCTACGTCGTTCTGACGTCATCGCAACACCTGTGCAAGAAGCAGACAAACTTGCGGTCCGCATAGTCACCAAAGTAAAGGAACGCAGCGCGTGACTTATGATGCTCACAATCCTCGCATCCTGATTGGTTCTTTGTCGTTCCTAACGACTATTGCAGCAGTCTCATTGGCTGCGGATTGGTAATAAGATGCTCGAGAGCCGCGACTCGACGCGGTCTGCGTAGCCCGACGTGGATTTTAAAGTTCCAATTTAAGGTATCGCTGTCCCGGCACGTAGAAGAGAGGAGTTGAAGACTAGATGTACACCCAAATGGAGTGTTTTCTGCCATGAGAGCACTATAGTGCGCCGACACGAACGAAATACACAAATCATAAAGATTTTTTTTTTTCATCGATTGCTCAGTTCGAAATGCAAATCAGTCATTGACGACTAAATCCACCAAATTTGTATGACTTTGAAAATTCCTGGGTTTACATTGAACTTTCTGAACAAATGACTATGGAGGTACCACCGTTCAACGTACAAAGCACCAGTGTTTAGTCTTGGAGTTTTTTTGTTTTTTTTTTCTCTCAACTATTTGCCTTTGTGGTATCATTGAAGGTTTAACATGACATGGTCGTCGCAGCATTCGACCAAATTTATAAAATACCTATGATCTGAAAACCTAGGTGAGGCATATATTGTTCTGTATTTCCCACGCGCTCTGATAGCAAACCTATATCATATCTGCTTTAAAACCAGTGCCGAATTTGTGCTCTGTATAATTCAGCTTGATCCGTGAGGGAATAAACGATATAAGTACCTGGTGTATAATAAAATTCAGTACTCAGACTCGACTAAGCAGGCTAACACTGTCCAGTCAGATTCGCAATTCGAAAGAATCTGACACTATTCGTAGATGCATCTTCGACAGCCTAGTTGCTTTGTCGTTTAGGTTAAAACTTTCTCCGTAAACATTAGCTATTTGAAGTCTTTCTCCCACCTAGGGTAGCATAAATTAAAGATTTTAACTTGTAAATTAAACAGCCCTGGCTCACAAAAAAACATTGCAACACACTTCTTTGTGTTTTTCTTTATATAATCGAATGTTACCGAATGAAGAATCTTTTCGTTTTTAAATTACTGTTTCAAAGAGTGTAGTGTTGTTTAGTGTTCCAGAAGCAATACTCCTGCATGATGGCTCGCATCTTGAAAATTTGTTTACATTTTAACATATCCGAGTAGTAAATGCATCGAAAACCAACGAAAACTAAAAACAAACAGAACGGTTTGATCATCGCGTATAGGCCAACATATCCTTGGATGCAACGCGGCCCTTATGTAAAACGGCCCTTCAAAATGCACTCATTGAACCATAAACAATGCTGCAATCAAACGCGTTAGAATGTTTTTTTTTTATCTTTCTATATGAGCCAGCGCCTAATTCCGAATATGAATATGAGCCTTTTTTTTTTTTCTACCTTTGCATATTATGATGACAGCATAAGACTCTCTTGTGTATTTCGCCTCTTCTGGTCATGCGGATGAGCAAATAAAATGCGTATAGGGTGCTATCAAGCCAAATCTAATGAGTAACATATAAGGGTGTTGTGGACAGACATGTTTACACGAGGTGAAGACCGTTACTCCGACCTCCCGTGACACAGGCCCTGTAACAATGCACGCCACGACACCGCCTGTGTTGCATGGATATATACCCAGTCGTACCGCGCTAGTAGTATTTCCTCCGACGTTTCAAAATAGGTCTTCATTTCTATTCTAGATGAAAGACAACAGAGGCCTAAAGATGTGATCACTGTGTTAATACATCATAAAAACAAGTGTGCAGACGCTGCCTGAGGCATACTTCTTAATTGTAGGAAGGTCCCGTCAGACTGTTCGTACAAAACCCGTCTGCAGAAATGTTCGAAGTATTCATTAGTATGAAGCAAAGAGTCTCGGAAAATGCTTGATACGTGTCCGTACATAATTGTGTTTACCGGGTCTTTTGTACAATGAACGATCCGTGCGACCATGGCCTAAGGTCCTTTGCTCAACTATGCTGGGACGATGCTGGGTCGATTGGCCGACGTGACTACCGAACTCGCTCGTATCTGCGGTGCACAGCCCGAGCCATTCATGATGGAGTGACATATCGCGTCGCTCACGTCCCTGGACAAGTGGAAGGACCCTCGCGCGACGCCCAGCCGCGCGACTCACCTCGGACCGGTGTCCTCTGAGGTTGTAGTTGGTCCGGACGGGGTGCTCGGCGGTCTTGCGGCAGTGGCACGTGGTGAAGGTAACCCCGACGATGCCCCGCGCGTTGCCCGACGCCAGCCAACCGTCCTGGTAGTAGTTGACGCGGTTCAGCCTCCAGCCGTCCTCCTCGGGCAACTCGTCGGGCACCTTGCCCATCCAGGTGAGCGACAGCACGGCACAGTCGGTCCGCGAGGAGCACGTCCTCTCGAAGTGCAGGTGCATGGCTCCTCCTTGCCTCTCTGCAGCTTTCGCGCGCGGCAGTGTGACTTAGCTGCTGCCGCTGCTCTTTCTTCGGGCCGTATTGATCGCTCGCCGGGCGTCCACGGAAAGCACACTCGCCGCGGACAACGTGGGGCCCCCGCGCTGTGGTCCCTCCATTGCGAGTCACCCGCAGCACGCACTCTTTGGTCCCGCCGTTCCACCGGAGGGACGGATGGACACGCCGACTCTCGCGGTGAGGGATCGGATCACGCCGCGGGATTCAGGGGCCCAGCACGCCGCGCCGCCTGGACGATCGAACTGACGGCGGTCGACGGCTGCTTTCCGAGGAGATCCGCCGCCCGCGGTTTCCAAGCGGCGTCTTGACGGACTGCTGCGACGCTGGACGGGACAGGAGCCGCGTGGACGACTGGTGAAATGAGCGGCGGTCGAGAGACTGGCGCGCCGACGTCATATCGTCCAGAGGAGCCTCCCCTGCGAGCGCGGAGCTCCTCCGAGCAGCCGCCGCGACATCTTTGCGCGGCTGATCTGCGACAGAAAGGGCGAACGGATGGGCGAACGGGGCGCCCGCGCCCAGCGCCCTAGCGCCGTATGGCGGGGTGGAGAGCGGATAGTGGGACTGGTGGCGCTCGCCGCGGCCGCTTAGATTTTGGGAAAATCGAAGCCCGCCAGGGGCGCACGCGGGGGCGGTGCGGTCGAAACCGACGCCGAGACGTTGGTTCTTGGAAGGTTATACCAAGACCACCTAGAAGACAAGGCCTCTCCACCAAACGGCGTCCTTATAGTCTGTTGCGGGTGAGGGGCGTAGGAAAAGCTCTTCCCACAAAGATCCCCCCCCGCACACACACACTCTTTCCACTACCGTAGAATGAAGGCTGAAGAGGATCACCGAGTTTTCCTTACTGTCTCCTTACTCCTTTCGCCCCCACACACTGTGTTCGCTCTGCTAAAGTGAAAAGGGTGTAGGGCTTTGTGGAAGAAGCTTGTCATGCACTCTTAACCTGCAACAGATTATGGTGGATCTACGCAGCGTGCCTAGCTCGCGTCAGCGTCAGCTCCCAGCGCGTCTTACAGCGTCTCACAATGGACACGACGCTAACACGCGACGACGCCAAACGCACGCCTCTGACGCTTTCCGACGTACTCTCGTCAAGCTTCGGTGTGTTTGCCGCTTGGGGTGGATCGGGGGTCCACTAATGATGACGTAATGCGCGGGCCTTGTTTCGTAACCGGTTTTGGTTATGCCCTCTTTTGAAGACGCTGATGGTCCGGGATCAGGACGATGAAGCCCGGCAACAAATGAATACCGCGATCTGTTCCCTATTCGCAAGTTTGCGACATTTTTTTGCGGAATCCTGCTCTGGACGAGACGGATGAGACAATGCAAAACGGCGACGCCCCTTTCTGATTTCCTGAAGAGACTTAAAGTCTGGGAATGGGCTCGCCACCGGCAAAACAGCTTTTTACACAGCCGCCTTAGGTTTCAAATTTCGCTTCGATGTGTAGACTTTAGATAACACATGTCTTGAACATCCTTAATACTTCGATACTGCAGCGCTCTTTCGTGCGTCTGGCAGATTAAAAAAAATCCACTTTTTTATTTTTGTTTTTCAACCTCAACATTATCGCAGCAGAGGAGTGAACTGCTGCTGCGACGTTCTTAGTGGCATGCTCAAATCGCACTGCAAGGACTATACGATAGTGCAGAAACAAATGACTGAGTTTCATTGAAAAGGGTTGGGGTTCGCCAGACCAGAGTTCTGACCGGCGTTGGGAGTGAAAAATGGGGAAGATATATCTTTGAAGGAGTGATAAACACATTAAAAAGAAAGCGCGACAGATCCAATATCCATCGACAGTCACGCGTACCATGGTGGACCTTTAAGCCGCGTATCTCCAATGAGCTTTACAGGGACTTTTAAGCCGCAGTCACGTGACTTGCACACCGTGCAAGAGACACAATGTTCGCTGCAGATATCGGAACGGAATTATGTGCGGACACGTCTCAAACATGTCCGAAGCTAGTGTGCTTTACACATATGTACACTTTGAACATGTTTGCAGACAGTTTTTGTAGGACCAATGTTACAGAACCTTATCAAATACAAGGAAGAAATACGCGTCAGACACTGTCCGCAGGCCAGAGTGCCGAACCGCAACCGAACCGAAAACCGGAACCGAACCGTTATTTTTCGCTTAAGCGGAACTGAACCGAACTGAAATCTTCGTCTCCACTTTGGAACTGAACCGGAACTGAACCGAAAAAAAAAAATGAATAAACGGTAAACGGTTAAATACGGTTGACGGTATTTTTTTTTTTTTTGCATTACAAAATAGATGTTTCAGATAAAAAAAAATTGCTAGCTACATGTATTTCTCCCTAGCGATCAAATCGTCACATACCGAATTGTAACGCCTGAGAAACTGTGGCATTTCCGTGGCGCTTTTTTATTAGCACTACGATTAATCGGGTTTCACGGGGTCACGTGAAGTTACGGTGTCGAGACATGCTGTCGAGTAAAGTGATCACGTCACGTGGCCCCGCGACGTATTCACGTGACTTGCTGCGTCAAGTCGACTTAAATTTAGAATGCCACTATATTCATTATAGTGGTGTTATATATTTACCGCGACGTCACATGGTATCCTGACTTTTCACCGCGAGTCACGTAACCCCGTGACGAATTCGATCGTCACGAGCCCGAGTCGAGTGCTCGGGTTCATGACAATCAGCATCGCCAAATATTCGAGTAATGGTTCGTATTCAATCAAAGATGAGAATAGCCGAACTCTAGCAATGTCTAAAGCTCAACTCATGCTTCATGCCTTACAAACCCCAGCGTATGACTATGATGAACACTGACTAAATATAATTAGCGTCAGATCACGTGGCCGCTTGTTCTAATAGCGAGTAGAAAGAGGGAAAGCTGTTTCTTTCCTTAATTTTTTTCTGCGTCGGCCATTGAGCGGAAGAGGAAAACTAACGGGTGCATTTTCAAATTATCAACACCAGGGAAATTACAGAAATTGCTCTACGAACCATTCTACAAGTGCACAATATTGAGGCACCGAAACATGTTTTCGTTGTTGCTGAACTGTCGCACAAAGTTGTTCTCGAGAAAAGAAGCATTGAAAGGACTAAATGTGAATTAATAATTGAATTATTAATGCAACAATAAATAGAACTACAATGGTGTACGGGACGGATACCTGCAAAGAAAGATCCTAGTGACCTTAGAGGTTCAACCGAACGTTGGCAGCCGTTCTAAATCTCACAGGAGAGTCTTTCTCAAGTCCTTCCCCAAACTTCGACCACCGTCGTATTTTGTTGAAACTTCGCAGTTTTTTGGTGCAAAATAAAAGAAATGAAGGATTACTGTTAACAAATGACAGAAATATAATTGTACAATTAACACCCCGAACGGAAGAAGGAGGCCCTCAGAAATAAAAAGTATTCTCTGGGGGAACATCGAGAAAAGAAAAGTTGGAATGGGGGAAGGGGGGGGAGTTCTAGAAACATATTGTTGGCGAATTCACGTGGTTCTTTCTGCGCGCTCTCGAGCGCTCTTTCGTGAGCGCGCGAAATCGGCTGGTTGAAAGAGAGTGCAGTGGCCTGATTGGCTGGTTCATTCCGAGGGTGCCTCTCCCTCTCAGAGCGCTCCCTGGCACTCCGTCTGTAGCCGTCTGAGTGCGGAGTGGCATAGGCGTCTCGTGGTACTTGGACGGGATGGGGATCACGTGGTTTTGTGGACGATGGCCGGCAGTGGTCTGTGGTGCTGTGCGGGGTACGGCATACCGGCGATTGATATGGGGTTCTACAAAGTGCTTGGGCATTCGACGATGCGAGGATTATAACGGACGGGACGACATTCGTTTTCGACCGTAACAGGAAAAGTCGACGTGTAAAGTATTCCCAGTGCTTTCACGAGATCGTTTAACTCACGGCTGTGAATTTGCTAAGCCTAACCAAAGAAGAAACAGCTCGCAGAGCTCGCCGCGGTTTTACCGGGTTTTCTGGTCGCTTCAAGAACTTTTCAGGTTTGGTAAAAGTGCGTTCAAAGGTTTGTGTTGTAAAATAAAGGGACAGACGAATATAATGCACTGTGATTTGTGTCACATTGCGATGCTTGCACGATATTTCGCCGTGAGAAAAATGCGGTTTATTAACCATTTTATATTCGCCTGCTCTGTCGTACGCATGACCGCTGTCGCAGCGCGTTCACTGTCGAAAACGCGATGAGTTGACAATTATTTCCAAGCATTGGCTTTCGTTCCGTTCTGCAAAAATCAATTCGCATACTGCTGTTTTCTTTTTTTAGATGTCGATGCGTAAAACAATTTTAGTCACAACCGTTATTTCATCACGTTGTGAGCTTAAATTTTGCTCAATCGTCCACCGTACCTCTAAGATCGTGTTGTTTTTAATGCATTACCGATTTCAAGAAATTTTAATTCCGGTCTGAGAATGTCAGAGCGCTCTGAACCCAGCAGTTGTGATCGGCTGAAAGGATCTCGAGTGGCTCTGGCGGCGAGGAGGGGGCGCTCTGCTGAATCGAGGTCAGAGGAGCGAGGCGACCACCCCAATTCACCATGTGTTGTAGAGGTCCCTCTGATCCGCACCTTCGGCACAGACCAAACAACGTGCTCCCCTAAACTACTTTTTTTTTTTTTGCCAACACCCTACTGCCAGAAAGCGCGTTTTCGTGGTGCCAGAACCCCGCGCCGTATCTCACGACCCTGCACCTAGCATAAAATAATTTGTGTCTCTCGAGTACATGACTTGCACTGAGTGCAAACCGTCTGCAACGTGCAGTTTGCACCACCGTATTTGATTTCCTCAGACATCTCCCTGTTGGTGTCTTGCAAACAAATTGTTAAGTGTGTCCAGTCCGTTCTGCAGGGCTTGTTGTTGCTCTTCAAACGTGCATCTCGCTCACCACTGTGAGATGTCGTCCACGTTGATGGTGTAACCGAGGTCCTTCTGCTTGTCAAGTTTAAAGGCGAGATATGCCATTATCATATTGAAGAGTGTGTGTGATATTACTGCCCCTGCAGCACTCCTCTAGCGAGGCTTCGTCTTGCACCTTGTATGGTTTCCACTTGGATCGAGAAGGTTGGGTTGTCCAGGAAGGATCTGATGAAGCGGAGACATCTCTCTCGTAGGCCCCTGTTGGTGACGTCGATTGTTACGAGTATTTTTGGTCTAGTGGAGGGTTGTGTGGACAATATGTCCTTGTGGATGAGAGCGATGCTGTCCATAGTGCTGAGGCAGGGACGGACGTCAGTCTGGAACGGAATAAACGCGAGCGACTTGTTTCCTCCCTTGTCTTCCAGCTACTAGTTTCTTTTGGCCGGCACCATCCGCTCCATGGTTTTTCACATGTTAGATGTTAGTAATATTGGTCTGAGATTTTGCGGTGAATCTAATAGCTTGCCAGACTTCGGGATGGGGATAACAGGTGAGTGTTTCTATTCTCATGGTATTTCCCCACTCTCCGACACCTGATTGAAGGCTTGCGACAGTCGCTTTTTACCCTTCTCTGGTAGGTTATGCAGGGCAGTCACAGTTATTTTATCTAGGTA